AATTAACTTAGATAAAAAAATTAATTTTAATAAATTTGTCAATTTCCCCTTTCTATTGCACCTAGCCCATATGATAATACATTACTACTTGACTAGTCACATATCTCACTATGACTACAATACATCTCTACAGGTCATAAACTACTATGGTTCATAACACTAGAAAACAAAATCATTACTAATCAACAAACTAGATTAATTAATAATCAACTATAACTATCAAACACGAACACGCTATCTTTCAATACTGGCCACTATAAAACTAAATTCAAAGCATGGTTAATCTTATATAATAACAATAATATAATACTAGGAAACATTAGAAGATATAATCACCACAATGACTCAATATCAATTACACACTGGCAAATTGAATTTGATTACTCCCACACTAATTTTTATCCACTACCTATATATACTTGTAAATCATGTACAGGATGTTCGCTAAACTCTAACCGAATTAAAAATATATGTATATTAAATGTCCTAACCAACCTATCTAACAAACTTTTATGCAAAAAAACAAACAACAATACTTCTAACAATCTCAATCTGCATGCTAATCTTCTGGACTCAATATGCTCAATTGCATTATGTAACTCAACCACAATACCAAGACTACCAATGGTTACAATCTATAATGATGCAGTATTTGTAATCTTTAAAAATAATCAACCTTCACAAACCTTGCAACAAATAGCAATAGAAAATACAATATACACACAACTAACATTCTATACCAATAGATTAGTTAGTGATATCACTACTGAGCAATGTACAATAGGTATAGGCTGAGTTTAAACAGCTAACAACATTGTACTACAGAGTTATTCCGCTGCAATTAAACTCTGGCCCTCCTCTTACAAAGCTAAACTACTTGCTCCTTTCTGCAATATGTACATGCCCACAAAACAGTAATATTACCATTTATACTGACTCACAATCTATAATATCTAAGTTCAACAAACTTGCTCAACAACCATCTGGACCAAACAAACAATACTCATATAACTATTGGCCAATTTGGCATATACTCCTAAATCTTATCAAATCCTACAGGTTAAAAATTAAACTTCAAAAAATTACAGCACTCAGCAATAATATATTTAATGATCTAGCTGACAGTTTGCCAAAAACTGTAATTACACAACTGATTTCAAATTTCTACACAACAATATTTACAATCCATTTTATTACTTACAATATATATCTTATGCATTTAAGCAACCAACTTGTAGATCTATTAAAAACATCTGTAATAGCCATATAATAGCATTATGGTCCTCCTAACACTTAATGGAAAACATTATACCCTTAGCAACACAAATTGATTGGAATGCTACCTGGCTTTACTTAAACAACAATCAGAAAAAATCATCTTTCTATACCAACTTTAAACTCTGCCAAAAAAAAACTTTCAAAATTAAATTTATATTTAACATACTATCTACACTATCAAACCTATATACCTTATACTCCCAATACTTTCCAGACATCAACTGCATTTTATGTAATGCTCACAAAGGTCAAATACATTAGCTTATATGCTCAAGTGCACCTAACCTAGATACAATCATTACTAATACAATACAACAATATTTGCAAGCCTCTAAACTTGATATAACAAATATACAATGCCAAGAATTACAGGATAAACTTATCTACTTTCCAAGCTTATCACTTAACCTCTATACCAGAACTAATACAAATATATTCACAATTCTACAAGAATTCATACTTATTATACTTATACAAACTATTCAAGAGTATATAGACTCTAACAAAACAGCAACAAATATTACTATTCAACTACTTTTACAACTATCTCAGGATATATACAACTTAATCTGAAAACCATATTGTGCAAAGCTATCAAGCTGGAAGCAAGAACACAACATACTTACCTATATTAACAAAAATCGAACTAGACAAAATACAACACCCATATCTAATAACCCACAGTTAAGAATACCATATACCTACAGCTGTAGCTGTGGGTTACCTGATCAACAACACATTGACAATAACTGCCCACCCTTTGAAAAAGCAATTAAAAAAGTATATACATAGTTAACTTCTTGGATAAAATTTAGTACTCCCACTAATAATATTATAAATTATAGAATCTAGATGAGTTTTTAACCACTCTAGTAGATTTAGGTTGCAGATAAATTAGATTTTAAAATCTATAGTCTGAGTCTCATTCTTGTAAAAATATTTGTAATTATTGGTCCTACTGACCAGAGAAACCTCTAGTGGATTCTCAATACAAATTATTAAATAAAGATAAAGGCAAAACCTCATCTTAAAAAAAAAATAAAATAAAATAAAACTATAATTAAATAAATACAAATATATACAAAATTTGGTATACTAGTTACAAGACATAATATTGAAGAAATTAAATGTAAAGTAGCTGCTATAATATGCAAATCAGTTACTACAATATATAAAAGTATGTATTTATTTATTTAAAACAAATATTAATTAATTAATTAACTTATTTATATTTAAATTATTAATAAAATATTCAAAAAAATTAAAAAAAAACTTAAAATAAAATTATAATTATTTCTAATTCAGTTTCTGAAAAAAAAACTATTTCAAATAAAAAATTAATAATCAAGTTGGAATCAAGTTCTTTACATAAATTAGAAATTGAAAAATGAAAAATAATACTTAAAGAATGTATTATTACTATTTGTGAAAAAGAAATTAATATTCAAAGAAGAAAGCTGAAGTGGAAACTTTAGAATTAGCTAACAAAAAACCAAAAAATGAAATAAAAATGATTAAGTATTACTATTGCATATATTGTATAGTATATACTCAGTGCATTAAATTAGTCAAAGAAAACAAATTTTTAGAGTAATTAGATTTCAAGTGATTAAGATTACATATATATATATAAAATAATATTATATTTACTTTATTTATATACTAATAATATCTTTGCTTTCTTTCAAACAATTACTATATAGTTTTAAAATTAAGTACTCTTTGTTTGTTATAGGAGGTGTTTAATTTCAAATAATTTTTTAAAAATATACATATTATAAACTTTATAATATGATGTAATTTATATAAATAAATATAAAGACAAGACAAAATAAAAAATATGTAGTCTTAATTTTTAATATCATACTATATCACCACAAAACAAATACTGTATCCTATTGTAAATAAGCACTTACATTAAATATAGTAGCAGGTGCTTATTCACGATAGAATTAGCACTGTTTAAAAGTTTATCAAAATTTTATCTTATATGATTAGAGATGAGAATTATATGGTATAATTAAAATTGTGGTATAATAACCAGGTTATTATACCATATAATAACTGTATAATAAATATCTAGTATATCCGAGTTTGTCATATGCTTGCTCATTTCTATGAAAAATTTCATCTAAATTTCTATTGGCCAACTTTGTTACACTAAAATATTATACCAATTATACAGCATTTTATTAATTATATTATACCAATTGTACAGTTATTATACTATTTTTATTATACGGTATAATATAATTGCCCATCTCTACATATGATATTTTGCCTATTAAACTATAGTAATAAATACAATGAGGTGCTTATTCATGATTGATAATTTTTGTTATATAGATTATTTATTTATGATGAGTACTTATTTATGATAGAATATGGTATAGAAATAAAATTATACAAAAAATTAAGTTGTTAAATATAAACATAATTCATATTCTATCAAACAAAAAAACAAATTGTTGTCTATACTAAAGAAAATAGAAAAAATTAAGCTATAGCAGCTTTTAAGCTTAATTATAGTATAGTTAGTTATTGGATTAAAGTAAGTATACAATGAAGAATTGAGATAAAACAAAGCACCAAACAAATTGGCTCTGGCTAAAAAGAATTTTATCCTAAAGCTTAAGAAAAGCTATATGATTGAATTATAAAACAAAGAAAACAAGAATTGGGTGTTATTTATAAAATTGTATATATTAAGATAAATAATATTTTAAAAGAATCTGATATAATAATCTTTATAGTAATTCAACAGATAATTTTAAAATGTCAAATTGTTAGATAACTGAATTTATGAAAAGATATAAACTATTTTGGCATTAACATACTAAAGTTTCACAAAAGCTTTCTTCACAATCTAATAAATTACTAGAAAATTTTCATCAATTTATTATACATCTTAAAGAAAGAAATCTTTTGAATTGTTTAATATACTTAATATAGATAAAATGCCCATCTGGTTTGATTTAGTTGAAAATTTTAATATTGATCAAAAAGGTGAAAAAACAATTCATATTTGTGGAACTAATAATAATAAAAATCAGTTCACAGTAGTTTTATTATTATTTTTTTTTGTAGTCAAGGTTAGCCTCTTTGGCTTACTGCTTTTATTAGATACTAGAATCATGTGGTGCCTTTTTCAAGGGGGCTCCAGACAAGTACATTCTGATGAGAATATATTCTAGCTATATCTGCATCTTTTGAGCGTCTAATTAAGTATCTACCTATTACTAGGTTCTACACTAGATGTCATATCTGTAACCTACTATTACTTGAGCTATCCAATTAAATCCTCTGATCTGAGTTTTCTATGCCAATCTATTTAATCTCACCTGGAACATGCGATATATTAGTTAGTTCAAGTTCTGAGATCATTGCAAGTTCACCTTTAGGTCTACCAGTATTGCTGATTCATCTTCGAATACATCACCTGTTAGAGCTATCCATTACTTACTTTTAATATATAACCTAATCTTTTTCAGATAGATATTACTGGATAGGTTCTATACCTTTACAGGCAGGCCACACTGCTAATCTCTACTGCAGATAGGTAGCTGGATAGGTTCTAAACCTTTACAGGCAGGCCATACCACCTAACTACCTGGCCTTTGCAAAGTTCATCCAAGCCTGATACTCTTTCTTCAAGACAAACTAGTACCTTTCCTTTCAGTACCCCTAGCAGATGCATCTATTTACCCCTGTCAAATTTGAATATGTGTGATGATTCATGCCTAATTAGGACCCATGTTCATTTATCATCTTTGATTATCATTATCATGAAAGAGGTTAAACATACGACTTTAATGTTAGCGTTAGCAACTATTTATAATCAAAACCGCACATCTTTATTAAGTCTGAATATATACGTATGCTGAAAAGATAGATATTTGAATCATATACATAACTAGTTTCAGAATAATATTCTTCTGAGCAAAACTATTTATTAAATTAAAACTAGACTTTTCTAGTTGAATCATTAAAAATTTGGTTGAAGAAATATATATGCGTTAATTATGCACTTGTAAATGCTAAGTACTTGGTTTTTTTTACTATCTGTTCTATTGCTAATCAATATCATAATTACTATTATATAGATATAATTATACTCTTTGCTAATGACCCGTTCTCTAGATTATGAATTTAATTTAAAAATATAAATGTAAATTGATTACTGATTAAAATTTTCTTTTCAATTTTGGTAGGCAGAGTTACTGATGTTTTGATACAGGAGAAAGGTTATATTTTATAAAAATCTTATGAAATGTATACACAAAATGTATACAATGTGCACACTATGTATAAATTAAGATTTTATACAAAAAATATGTACACTGAGCACATTGTGCACATTGATTTTATACACTGCTTAGGAAACAACTTCTTAAATTATTGAAGCTCGATTGCATTATTTAGAGTTAAGTATTTACTTTATATACAGTATATGCGAAAAATATTAAAATTGAATAAACTAAAATATTAAAAATCTTGTCTTTCACTATAGTCGAGTAATTATATTGTGTTTAATCAATCAGTTGATATCTATTTTTACCTTAAACTTTGACTATTATGCTTAAGCATCCGATTTACTTTTAGTAATATGAATAATAATCAGAGAATTATTTAATGAGAGTATTTTTTTAGTAAGAGATCTGTTACTTAATAGTTTTAAGTTTTATATAATTATCTAATTGCTAATTTTTGAATCAAAATTTAGATTAATATTAATTACGGTTTTGGAATATTTTATAGTTAGTGATGTGAATAGTAGGAATTATTTACTATAGTGAGAAAAATAAAAAGCTGGATGTTTAGTATAGCAAATACTAATACATTTGCTTTTTGACATTATAATTAGTTCCTTTTATATCAGAATTAAGAATTTGAAAATTATTGTATAAAGAGATATTGGCTTTTTCTTCATTCCTGCCTCTACAACTGCCTCTATGTCAGTATTAGTTATTTGGTTTCAGTCTTCTTGAGTATGCCAATCTCATACTTTTTTAAGTACCTCAACCCAACTGGTGAAAGTGATATTGCTAATTTTCTCAGTTTTTTTTTTGATTGATCAGAAACACAGTATGTACTGTGTGTAACTTGCCTTAAATAAAATTTTTGATAGACAGCAAAAATATGCTTGCACGCAATTCCACAGAATTTAAAGTCCACACATGTACATTCAAAATGTGCTAGTTTTATATTTTCATTTTGTTGAATATAATCTTTGATACTAACCTCATAATGTCCATCTTTTGCTGATTTTACAAGGTAGCATCAATCATCTGGGAAATTAAAAATGTCTAGGTTCAAACCAGCCAGCTTGCACTGTCTTTGTTCCTTTTGGCGAGGTTTCATTCTTTCAATCATTAAATAGACGGCCTCACATTCGAATTTTGCATCCTTTAAGACATTTTGCAATGTTCATATTAAAGTATCAATCTGATTATTTTGTTTAGCTGCAAAGTAAGTATATTTTAATTTCTTATGCCATGCTTCAATAAAGTTTGTTGTATTTATTTTTTGATGTTCATATAGGCGGTATGCATCACTCCATTTTTCGCAATTTTTTTATATTCTTTTTTGATATATTCCACACATTTTATTTTATTAAACTCTGCCCACCTTTCTAAATATTTGTTGAATTTATTTTTTACCTGGTAAATATCATGAATTCGCAATATATCATTAAGTTCATCCAGTGCTGCCTTCTGTGCTACTTGTTTTTCCGACCATTTGAAAATATGACCATCTTTTTCATTTTTGTTTTGTGCTTTAAAATGCTTGCTGTCACTATTAATTTTACTTTTATTTTTTTGCCATGCATTTTTAATATACTACTGGCACAATAAGATTATAGCTTCAGAAAATACTATATTAATAGCATTTTGCTATGCATCATCGCAATCGATGAGAAAGGTATGAGGTTTCCAGCTCCTATTTTGTTTTTTAATAGCTTCAAACCAACATTTTAACGTTTCTTTTGATTTTCTTTCTGATATTAAATAGGCTACAGATACTCTATGTCCACCATCATCATCTCGAACAAGCAAGATGAAAAGGTTGTTTTTATGCGAAGTGGTTCCATGAGTACCATAAATACAAACCATTTGTGCGCCCTTTGACTCTAGTATTTTTTTCTAAAACTCTGTTTAGAAGGCGTACATGAATCCTAAAGGTGTATCCCAGCTTAGATTATCAAACGTATGAGAACCATCTTCTTTAGATAAGATAATCCATTCTTTGACAGATGTATTTTCGCTATATTCTTCTTTCTTATTTCCTAGAAAGATTATACCTTTCATTTCCTTATGAATAATATTATATACATCAATATAGATGATATACAGATCAGGCCTCTGTATTAAAGACAAAGCCTCTAGGTCATCTGTTTTATAAATCTGATTAACACGCTGGTGAAACAATGATACAATTTGGGAAGAATTCATTCCATCCTTTACCCTTCCGCGAATCTATTCCCTTGCCTGCTAAGATATTTTAAAATAACGCAAATCTTCAAGGGTACCAGGGTTATGTTTATTATGTAATGTATAATAAACAATGTGAACATTATTACCTTCTTCATCATGATATTTTAACATATGTATGTAAGATTTACAGCCTGTTTTTTTTAATAGCTTTTGAACTGGACGGAGACAACTACCATCAGATGAAGGGTCAATAGTTTGGTTCATTGTGCTAGCTACTGATCTTGGCCTCCCATAACAGTGGCAAACGTATCTTTTGTTTAGCTTATATTTTGAGGTCTTACGGCTATCTTTATAAATGCAATTAGCTTCTGCAATATTAGAAAAAATATTTTTAATCTGTTCTTTATATGTTTTTAGCTCAAGGTGAGTGTAAATATTAATATATTCATTCCTATTTATTTCTTGTGATTTGGATTCTTCCGGCAATTCCAATTCAGGTTTAAGTTCTCCTGACGATTCTGAGTCAGTTTTTTCTTGCAATTTGGGTTCAAATTCTTGAACATGTGATGCACATTCATGTTCTTGTAATTCAGGATCTGAATTGTTCTGCAATTCAGATCCAGGATTATTATTGGATGAAGATATTTTGGTGCGCTCAACAACGTTGTTAATTAAATCAGTTAGGACTAGGTTTGTGAACATGCTTTGGTCTATTTTTCATGATTTAGATTTGGACAAGGTAGACATATTTCTATTTGAGCTATCAGACATTTTTTTTTACAATAATAAGCACAATAATGATTAATTTATAAAAGGGTGATACAATATATTAGAATCAATTAATTAAAGTATTTAACACAAAATTCTTATACAAAAGAAGTTGTCAAGGTAAACTATCTTTATATATATTTTTGGATTATATATATTTTTAAAATATAAAAATTTACTTTTTTTTTTGCTAAAGCATATGGAATTACATGATAAGTTCTTAGTTTCATTGGTTTTTATTTTTTATTACTAATTTGATATAATCTAACATTGTACTATTCTTTTTTATCCTTTAACTTAGAAAAAACACGATATTCTGTAACGATTCTCTGTCAATAAGTTTTTTGTTATATTACATGCAAATGCATTATATTTTTGGTTATATGTATTTAAAATATAAACTTTTTAACTAAAGTTTTTTTTTTTGCTAAAACGCATATAATACAACGATAAGTTTTAATTACATTGGCTTTTATTTTTTATTCCTAATTTGATATAATCCAATATTACGCTACTCCTTTCTATTCTTTAACTTAGATAAAACGCGATGTTTTTTAATGATTCTCTATCATTGGATTTTTGTTATATTACATGCAAATACGCTATATTCTTTATAACGATTCTCTTTTAATGAGATTTATTATACTATATGTAAGCATAAGATATTCATTATAACAATTCTCTTTAAACGGAGTTTTATTATATTACATGTAAGTGCAAGATATGTTCTAGCAATTCTCTTTTACTGGGGTTTGTTATGTTACATATACATGTGTTTGAAATTTCTTATCTGATATACTTTACTATATGAGTTGTTTTACTAACATTTCCTTCTTTTGGTTAGAATACCTTCTGTAGAGATTGAACCTGGGTAGAAATTGTTGATATATGATAATAATAAATTACTTAGATAACCTGGGTAATTTAATAATACCCAGGTAGGGATTTTCTCAACAGGTCCAACTTCTAACTTTCTGATTCTGTAATAAGTTATGGAATCTGTACAATTACTAATAATAATAATACTGTTTTTTTTATTTAAAAAATTAATTCATCATTAGGAATATATCATATATAATCTATTTGCAGTTAATAATATGCTTACGACAATTTCACTAATTTTATTAATTTATGATCCAAGATTTTGCCAATTACACTCGAATCTATCATATAATGTTTCAGTCACATATATTATTATTATCAATCTGCATTTACTTACACTAATTAAGCAATTCAAGAGTTGTTACTATTCAGTTTTATAATTTAGCATATTAAAGAATTAGCGTGCATGATGCAGGACATATCGGTATCATTAATTATCTTTCATCGATATGATACACATTATTTCACTTAGACATCTAAATTGTCGCTTGATGGCTTTTAAAATTCTTACAAAATTTGTATCAACTTAGTTTAATAAAATTCATTAATTTTGTTAAGAATTCATAATGATTTATTTAAAATGTGGAGGATTTTATTTGATGCAGTTTAAGATTTAGCAACAGTGGATATTTTAGCAACAGTGGATATAATGTTTGATATCATCTGAATAGCAGTGAGGTAAAAATTAATTTATAGATATATGTATGATTTTACTTACGAGATCAAATTATAAATTAAATGACAAGAATTCTAAGGTTACTTTATTAAGATTTTATAAACTAGTTACAACAGTTAAATAGGCAATGGCATTATTAC